TGCAAGGGATGATGGGACAGGTGCAGTAGGTGCAAGGGATAGATGAGACATGTCCAGGTGCAGCAGATGCAAGGGATAGATGTGACATATCTAGGTGCAGTAGATGCAAGGGATGATGGGACATGTCTAGGTGCAGTAGATGCAAGGGATGATGGGACATGTCTAGGTGCAGTAGATGCAAGGGATGATGGGACATGTCCAGGTGCAGTAGATGCAAGGGATAGATGGGACATGTCTAGGTGCAGTAGATGCAAGGGATGATGGGACATGTCTAGGTGCAGTAGATGCAAGGGATGATGGGACATGTCTAGGTGCAGTAAATGCAAGGGATGATGGGACATGTCTAGGTGCAGTAGATGCAAGGGATGATGGGACATGTCCAGGTGCAGTAGGTGAAAAGGAAAGATGGGACAGGTGCAGTAGATGCAAGGGATGATGGGACAGGTGCAGTAGGTGCAAGGGATAGATGGGACATGTCCAAGTGCAGTAGGTGAAAAGGAAAGATGGGACAGGTGCAGTAGGTGCAAGGGATAGATGGGACAGGTGCAGTAGATGCAAGGGATGATGGGACATGTCTAGGTGCAGTAGACGCAAGGGATAGATGGGACATGTCTAGGTGCAGTAGACGCAAGGGATAGATGGGACATGTCTAGGTGCAGTAGACGCAAGGGATAGATGGGACATGTCTAGGTGCGGTAGATGCAAGGGATAGATGGGACATGTCCAGGTGCAGTAGATGCAAGGGATAGATGGGACATGTCTAGGTGCAGTAGATGCAAGGGATAGATGGGACATGTCTAGGTGCAGTAGATGCAAGGGATAGATGGGACATGTCCAGGTGCAGTAGATGCAAGGGATAGATGGGACATGTCAAGGTGCAGTAGATGCAAGGGATAGATGGGACATGTCAAGGTGCAGTAGATGCAAGGGATAGATGGGACATGTCAAGGTGCAGTAGGTGAAAAGGAAAGATGGGACAGGTGCAGTAGATGCAAGGGATAGATGGGACAGGTGCAGTAGATGCAAGGGATAGATGGGACAGGTGCAGTAGATGCAAGGGATAGATGGGACAGGTGCAGTAGATGCAAGGGATAGATGGGACAGGTGCAGTAGATGCAAGGTATGATGGGACAGGTGCAGTAGGTGCAAGGGATGATGGGACAGGTGCAGTAGATGCAAGGGATAGATGGGACAGGTGCAGTAGATGCAAGGGATAGATGGGACAGGTGCAGCAGGTGCAAAGGAAAGTTTGGACATGTTTAGATACTTAATTAATAAATAAATTTCCGCAAAAAATCCTGACAAAAAATTGTTTCTACCACAAAAAAGTTCTGCTAACATCAGTTGAACTCAAAGAACTTACGCATAATAATTAAGTTTCTAAATATTTTCTAGTTTCATTAAAGTCAAAAAGAAAATATATATCGGTATACTGTTTCGAGGATATGTATATAATTTTTTTTTAAATTTATTAAAAAACTTTGAATTTCTTTGCATATAATACAGTTTAGGTCAGTGGTCGCATACCCATTTTGGCTATCCTCCGAAGTCCGGTCCCAAATTATTTCCAATGATTACTCCTTACTTAAAATTCTTAGGTATCAATTTGCTTTCGAATTCATGTTTGCGTATATTTCAATACATTTGTTAAATTATGTCAGTAGACCAGCCCCACCGATAAGCATTAGTTCGGTTATTTTGCCGGCTGCACAACTGGGCGGAATTGAAGTAACTCCGTGTGAGTTGTATGCTGTGATGTCAAACAAGCGTGAAAGGTTGGAATGTCTGGCCCGACACCGCTTGATCAGAAACCACGTTAATTATTGTGGAACATGCAGGCGCAAAATGGCGTTAGTTACTCGTGTGGAATGCAACGACGGTTTTTTGTGGCGTTGTCGCCCATGCAACACCCGCAGTAGGGTAAGAACCAACACCCGCAGTAGGGTAAGAACCAACACTCGCAGTAGGGTAAGAACCAACACCCGCAGTAGGGTAAGAACCAACACCCGCAGTAGGGTAAGAACCAACACCCGCAGTAGGGTAAGAACCAACACCCGCAGTAGGGTAAGAACCAACACCCGCAGTAGGGTAAGAACCAACACCCGCAGTAGGGTAAGAACCAACACCCGCAGTAGGGTAAGAACCAACACCCGCAGTAGGGTAAGAACCAACACCCGCAGTAGGGTAAGAACCAACACCCGCAGTAGGGTAAGAACCAACACCCGCAGTAGGGTAAGAACCAACACCCGCAGTAGGGTAAGAACCAACACCCGCAGTAGGGTAAGAACCAACACCCGCAGTAGGGTAAGAACCAACACCCGCAGTAGGGTTAGAACCAACACCCGCAGTAGGGTAAGAACCAACACCCGCAGTAGGGTTAGAACCAACACCCGCAGTAGGGTTAGAACCAACACCCGCAGTAGGGTAAGACTGTAGGTCAACTGTAACAACTATCTTCGTCAGGAATGCTGTCAATGGATGCTGATTACCAATCAACTGCTGGGAGGCTTCGATGCAAAAGGCCAGTCTGTTTTCGTTGAGATGGATGAGAGTTACTTTTTCGATAGAAAATATCCCCCTGGACAGCGACGCGTTGGTAAGTGGGTTGTCGGCTTGGTTGAACGTGGTGTTGGACGATGTTGGGTGGAGGTTGTCGGCCGTCGAGATGCACAAACACTCGAGCGCAATATCACTAATCATGTGTTGCCAGGGACAACTATCGTCACGGACGCTTGGCGAGGATTTCAAAATGTCGGTCAGCTCAACAACGGGATTGATGCTCACGTTGCCATTGTGCACGCGCGTGAATTTGTTGATCCAGTAAACAGTAGGCCAGGACATTCACACAGAAACTATTGAAGGACTTTGGATGCAAGCGAAATGTAAACCCCGCTATCAGAGTGGTACTAGTCGCGGTCTGTGCCAGCTACTTGTGGGCCTTTCAGTGGCGCAACAGTCACAAGCAGAACGTTTTCGGCTGCCATTTGCAAATGCTATGCGCCAATGATAACATTTACTATTTACTGACTGGTTTGTAAAGTGACAGTTATTTGAAAAGCTATGACTAACATTTCTGCTGTTTTCTAACAATACACACTGCGCATTGCAATTTTCTTCATACAAAATAATTTGGGACCGGACTTCGGAGGATTACCCTCATTTTAAAGTACCGGTATTTCTCTGGCGTAGAAATCAGCCGTCAGAGAACTCTACTAGTGACAAGAATGATTTAATTAGTTATCATTTAGATTAAAGGTAATTAAAGATATTGTTTATAGAAAAAAAATTGTACTTCAGTGTTCAGGGCCGCGAAAATGTGTATGGCAGGAGTATAATAATAATATTTAGTAGAAAAAAAATACTTCTTAATACTTATGATGTAAGAAACGTAAATATTACATAGATACTTCTTTTTAAAATACGGAATTGGGATAAGTTTTCGCAATAGCAGGTGGAAATTATCGCAAAATGCCTGCCGTTATTATCTCGATAACATCGGGTGTTATTTTCTAGTACAGATAATAATGAAAAATAGTTTTCTCTTCCAAAAGAATTTTTAATTTCGCTCTACTTAGTATTTGTTCCACTTTCTATTAGGAATATTAGTCTCTTGAAATAATATAATATGACCAACGAACCTTAAAGTGATACATTTAAATTGAGACAAGGATACAGGCTAAAAAGCTAGGCCTATGCCAGCTAGTAAGATTAATTCGCATTTTATATTCGAAAGAAAAATAGAAAGACCTACTTCCGGATAAATTGCGTTTCCTTTTCAACAGTAACTCAGCAGTTGGCATAAGTACACGACCTCAGGCCTGAGATAGATAGCGTGGAAGAAAATCTTCAAAATGTCATCAACAAAAGAAAGGGTTGCCACAGTGATGACTGGCACGAGAATAGCCTTTTATTATGGTTTTATTCCAACAGTCCTCATTTTAGGTAATACTCACATTTCACATAGTCATAGTTAGTAGTGAGTAACTAGTTGTAGTTTAGTAGGGCCTCTACCGTACTTTTAGTGACTTATAAGTTACACTATATGGCTTATACTAGTACTAGTCACTAGCGTAGTCAGTATTTATATTTATTCACTCATCATCATGATTGATTGTGTTTGGTTCACTGCAGTGAATATGAAATTATTTCTTGAAATTCTAAACCTGCATCTGAATCTAAATTCAACCAAATACCGCCATTCCCAGTAGTGGCCCTGCCCTAGAAAGAAATGATTTGTAAAAACTGGCCAGGGCCAGAGGGAATTAAAATAAGGCTAGGAGTTATAATGCTGTGTCAGTGTGATCTCCTTAATAATGATGCAAGTACACACCCAAAGGACTAAGTTACTAAGTTAGGTCTAAATATTTAGGCTTTTGTTTTTAAATTATAAAATTTAGTACCACACAATCTAATGAAATATGTACCTGTTAAACTTTTGATTTTATATAAATCGTTGCATATTATTTGTTTATAGGATTCATGAAAGGTGCTGATGAGGGTACACCATCTCTGTCTCTTCTCAGGTATGCTGCATCTTCTTAAAAAATTTCGTACCGGGTACCTTTGTCTCTTTGCAACTTGAATTTTTAAATGAGTTATTCTATGATCTAATTCAAATATGTGGATCTAAAAATCACTTGCCGTAATTACTATGGAGACAGAGGGGGCTTAGATTTAGAAATGAACAACTTAATATCTATTAAATCAGTGGTATCAAACTGAATTAATTCAATTTTGCTTACTAATAGTTAACAAAATCATCTTATAAAATGCTTATTTATGCTTCCAGTATGAAAATTTGTTACAATTTGTAAGGAGTATATAATATATATTTTAAATTTTACACATTTTTTTCAATCTCTCTTTGTCTATGCATGCTATGATGTGCCATGCATATCTATAATTTTAGTGTCAAACAGTGTTGTTAATACTTTTCAGTGGTATTATTATTTACAGGAGCACATCTTACTGAAGACCAGAAACCTTGTTGCTGTGTGATGTTTGCACTCTAATAAAATTTGTTATTAAATGTCTATTGCAGAGGTTCCCAAACTGTGCACTGGATAGCCATGGCTCCCTCAATGGGGAGCTCCTAGGTAGCCATTTCGTCCGTGCTACAACTTATGTATTACGTGATCTGTTTACTTTAGCTGCCTGGAGTGCTCATTGCCACTTAATTAGGATTAATATTACTAAGTTCAAAATGATAAACACCTATAGCAAAACTTTTTGTCCAATCTGCGCTAATTAAGTACCGGGTATGAAATACAGCCAACTACTAGTACTTGGTTGAAAATTCTGATTTTCTGAGGGGCCATTTTTATTTAGGTTCAGATGCTGATTTTATATCTTTAGTAGATCTTTAGTACCGGTAGATTAGATTAGTAGCTCGGTGAACTATCTTAGTACTTTGTGTTAGTCTATAAATAGCTCTTGGTCACTTGCTGTTATACTGTTGAATTAGTTCTAGAAGATTGTATAAAATTAAACTGAACATTGTTATTAATTAAGCCATGGGAAATTATTGAAGTTTTTAATATAATTGATAGTTTAAAAAATGGTTGGTTTGTTATTGAACAGCAAGCATAAATATTTTAATTAAATCTGATATGGGGGTCTTTGGAAAACCTAGATGCTCACTGAAAGTCAAAAAAGTTTGGGAACCTCTGCTTTAAGACATGAATGGGCATAAATAACAATATATATAATAAGCTATAAATGTAATCTGGGTTTATTTTTGTTTGCATTCTCTAGTCTACTCTGGCATTGAGCCACATCTCACCTTCACCAAGCTGCAGACCAAGAAGTAATGGACTGACAAGTTTGCAATGAGTGCATCTAAAGAGAATGCACAGGCAACTGGATGGTGATTGATTGCCCAATCATACATTAACACCTCACAGGATGTTACTTGCTTTTTCATTTGTTTTTTAATCTTTACGTTTTAAATAAAGTAATTTTTTGATTAAAATGTTTGTTTATTTTGTATTTAAAGTTTCTTAAATAAAATGAATGATTATCATGAGAGCTAAACTAAGACAACTGGTTTTGGAAAAGGAGCAACCAAAAAACGTTCAGTTTTAACTCACAATTTGTCATTGTCGCGCCCCCCTCCCCCATCTTTCCATATTAATTATCATTATATTACATTACATTGAATCAGTGGCGTAGCTAGGGTTGGTGTCACCCGGTGCGATAAACTCATGGTGTCAACCCCCCCCCCAAACTTCTATGATCGATTTTTTCTTGTTAAAATAAGTCCACAGTATAGCATCAACCTTGAACTTTTAATAAAGCATGCATTTGGATTGGTTACATTTGTGAAAAATATATGTGTGATCGGTTATTCTTTTATGAATCTCGGTTTTTGCGAGCAATGTGTGCCCTGTAAATATGCAATTTTTCAATCGGGCGTCACCCGCACCTGCCTCGCTACGCCACTGCATTGAATCAATGGGTACTTTTCAAACTAGAATTTACAGTGACGGTAATCTTCTCATGATTACCATAGTATTAAGTAGAATAAAGTCCCCATTACTTTAGTAGTCCAGAGATTTGCATGAAAAAACGAATAAGTAAAGGTAATTAGAAATCAAATTTAAATGAGAATTATGGATGATCTTTATGTCTAAAAATAGCCAACACGCATGATGCTGCTTTTCTGATCTAAGACAAGGACAAACTCTATTTAAAATTTGGTGCACCCCACATATTTAACTATTAATTTTGGGGAACCAACCATAATCTGTGTCTTATGGGGTGGGGGTGGTTAATTTTGATAAAAATGTCTTTATTTTTTTTTTTTGGGGGGGGGGTTAAAAAAATCATGAAGTTGTTAATGGATGGCTCTTTGGTATGAGGGATGGGCAGAAGGGTGGGGAAATATAGGACAGAATTGCTTAGAATTTGGTACATTGACCAATCAAATTTTGTTTAAAATGTTCTACAGTATTTTCCGGCGTACAAAACTACCCCCTACTTTTCCTGTTACAGCATAGAGTTTGGGCTGTACTCTCTAACGCACACCAAATAAAAATTACAAAAACATCTGATTTGATTTCAATTACTAACTATTAGTATTAAGACCTTTTTAATGCAAATGCTGATGACATGCTGGTACATAGCAGGAATATTGTCACTTATAAACATTAAGGCTGTCTGTCATCAAACATGTCAACATAAAACAGTGCAAGTGAATTCAACGTTTCCCAATTCATTCTAAATTCTAAAGCTGAAAGGAAGCATAAGACAATAAACGTATGGTAGCTTCCATGCTGTTTGTTTTCCAAGCTGTCAACCACACTGGAACTAGAGGGCACATGTCCCTGAAGTTTCAGCACGCCGTGTACCAGCTTATGAGACGACCCAAGGTGTATACTGAAGTCGGCGCAGTGGCGTAGCTAAGGTTGGTGTCACCTGCTACGGTAAACTCATGGTTGTCACACACCCCCCCCCCCCCCCCCCCCCCCCCCCCCCCCCCCCCCCCCCCTCCAACCCATCCCATTTTTTTAGATTGTGTAACCCTAATGAAAATACACACTTTCTCCAACTTCCACGATGTACCGGTATTTCTTATTGTTAAAATAATTCCACATTATGACAAGAAAAATAAATTAATTGAAGATCAGGAGGTAAATGTATTCAAGAACTTTAACATGTATTTAGAATCGCCCTTTGTTATCAATGGAAGGCTTTATTTCTCAGAATTTATATAAATATATCTTCCTGCCACTTAGGAAAGTTACCTGACACCTCAATTTTCAATCGGTTTTGAATCGTGGTCAAAACGGCGTTTATCTGACCTATTTATTATAAGTTCCCCTAATTTCTGACGCAACAACATTGACCTTTTAATAAAGCTCGCAATTCGATAGGTTACATGTCTCGAAAATTTTTGTGTGATCAGTAATCACTTTCATGAAATTCGGTTAGAGTTAGACCGAGCAGTGTGTGGTCTGTAAATGTGCTATTTTTCAATTTGGTGTTACCCCCTGAGATGGTGTCACCCGGTGCGGTCCGCACCCCCTCCCCTTAACTACGCCACTGCCCCGCCGTATAAGAGACTCCCGACTATTGAAAAGATTTTCAAGGGTTTAAAAGCCGTCTTCTTATACGCCGGAAAATACGGTAAATAAAAATTCCCAAATCTATATAGATTTAAATTAGCATTTTGGGTAGCCCGATTAATCAAACAAAACCCCAGTTACGATTAGGCCGATTACCTAATATTAATATATGTAGATAGATTCTAAATAATTTTTATGCTGTAGAATTAGTGAGTAACGTAGCTAGGGTTAGTACACACTCCAAATCACAAAAATAACTATTTAGGACGTCAGTACTCCGAAACGGCTACCAGGGCTACCACAACCCCAAATTTTCTAAGCCCGTGCATAGTCATGAAGTGAAACTTTATTTTTTATTTGTATCGTATCGTTATATTTTCTTCCAATAAAATTAAAAGCCAATAAATCACAATAACTTGTCGTAACGCCCATGTGCTTAATCTGTTAAAAAAATATTATTGACATGGTTCCTTTATTTCAAATTAATTAACGTTTTAAAGCAGTGGTTCTCAACCTTTCTAACGCCGCAACCCTTTAATGCATTTCCTCATGTTGTTACGACCCCGACGAAAATCCTACTTTATAACTGTGGAGTATAAGTGTTTTTGGATGGTCTTAGGCGACCCCTGTGAAAGGGTCGTGTGACCCACAGGTTGAGTAGCGCTGTTTAAAAAAAAAAGAGCAACATCAAATTTTGAAAATGAATTAATTATAATTAGACTGTACTATATGGATAATATTAATTATGTAAGAAAAGCCCAGACCGGTGTTTCTGTTCGCGACGCTCAACTCCAGCAGAGAAAACAACTTTTTGCGAAACTAAACAGCACCAGCGTAGAAACGACATTTTTTGCGCAATATTATAAAATATGCGAACAGAAAACGAGAGTTGACATACTTTAAAAAAAAATGAAAGCGGTAATAAAATAAGGGTTGAAACTGGTAGGCTCAACAAACTTTCCGATGGAATTTCAAATGTAAATACAAATTGTGCTTCATCATCATTAACATCAGGCCTTGGACCGTTGGGGCGCCACAGATGACATGTGAACTATCCTCCCCGCCCAATGTGTCTCTGTCTTCTGCGCTACGCTCAGCATCGCCCAGTGTTAGTCCTGTCCATTCTTTGATGTTATCCTCCCATCTGTTTCTTTGTCTCCCTCTTCTTCTCCCTCCGCTTACGGCTTACGGTGCCCTGCACCTTGTTTCCTTGTTACGTGGCCGTACCATTGTAGTTTGCGTTTTTTCACTGTCACCAGTAGGTCATCGTACTCCCCAATTGCCTGGCGATCCCAAAGATCCGGTAAAGGAGTAAACAAATCACATTCCGTCACTTCGTAAAACTTTTGTTGTATTATCACCAGTAAACAGAAAATGAATCTCTGATGATTCGCATAGCGTCGCATCGAAAAATGGTTTCACCTGACAGTCAAGGACGGAAAAGTAAAGGGGGGGGGGGGGGTAAAAAAATGTTGAGCAGGCTGCAAGGGGGCAGAAATTAGTATTATTAATATTTAATTTTTTAAATGATAATGTCAATAATTTCGGTCTAAGGACGGAAAAGTAAAGGGGGGGGGGGGGTTAAAAAAATGTTGAGCAGGCTGCAAGGGAGCAGAAATTAGTATTATTAATATTTAATTTTTTAAATGATCATGTCAATAATTTCGGTCTCATCAGCCATGTGCACACCCACACTCACACTGCCCACAGCCATGCACAATGAGATGATAATTATATACGATGGTAAAAAAAAAATTTGAATTTCGTCTGACGAAACAGATATAGATAGAGAAGTACGGGGAGGGCTGCGTTCAGATTGAAGCAATAAGAAATATACAAGGAGTAGGGATTGCCTCTATCCTCTTTATATTTCTTGTTTTATTATATTGGTACCGGTATTTAATGTTCTAAAATTGTTTTGTGGTCGTCGCATAATTTCTATTTCGATGATAATATTAAATTGAATTCGATTGGCTGGTATTTCCTCTATCTAACCAATTGTAACTCCTCTAAGCTAGAACTAAAAGTAAGGTCGATAACTCTCATCATGTATTAATACAATCAATTACACGAGGTTTATTAAGAAAGTAGATTTTTTTCCATAACATTTTGAATGTTTTCTCAATTTCTGTGTGATTAAAAAATCATGGCACTTGTTCCATCACTTCAGGCAGGATCACAGTTTGGAAAATACATCTTTTCCCATGATTCGAAGTAAGTAAGCCTAAATAAAACTATACTGTTGAACTGTTTCAGTTTCACAGGTCTGATGAGTGTGATGTGATAGTCAGGGTTGTTAACAATACTAAAAAAAAATTATTGGCAATACCAATACCAATACTGCCTGTAAAATCTATTGGCAATACCAATACAATTTTAAAACCAGTATTGCAATACCAATATTTATTTATTATTGCCTTACCAATACCAATATTTGGGTCATTCAACGAATAAAACGCAAATATGTAATTCATCGCTCTATATCACTTACATCGATAAACGATAACAACATTTTTGGCTAATTTAGACAATGTATTTTTAACCAAATTTTGTTCAATAGTTAACACTTGCTTCATCAGTTTTCCTCAAAGCATTCAAAAGTCTTTGACAACATATTAATATTAAATAAGTCGGCATACCTTAAACTTAAGGTCCTTAATTAAGCAACAAGATTTTTAATATGTATACTGTACACATATTGTGAATGAATGAATGGATGGATGGATGAATGAAAGGATGAATGAAGCAAATGACTGTCATTTTTGTTTGTAGGCCCTAGACACGGTGCTTAAAGTGCCTAAGCCTTAATCGAGCCTTGGTAAGTCACTGGTCAATGCTCATTGCCAAAGATATCATATGTGATTTGATTTCTATTACTATTATCATTCTTTTCATTGATCAGTCTCATTCAAAAATTGTTTGGCAATGTCACTCGCAAGATGGCGACACCAAAGAAAAATTTATTATATTCAGCTTTATTCACAACCAATGTTGTAGAGAATTTATTGAATATTGCTTTTAGTATTGGTTAAAAATCAATACCAATATCAAAAATAATTATTGGCAATACCAATACCAATATCAAATTTCAAGAAGTATTGCAATATCGCCCCAATACTTAAAAAAGTATTGGCAATACTACCAATACCAATACAATATTGCAATATTAACAACCCTGGTGATAGTGATGAGCACTTTTACACTTTACTTTTGAGGTTGAGTCTTTAACTTTAACTCTTTTCATGACTTTTGTCACTTTAGTTTGACTTTTACTAGGGACTTTTATTTTGAGTAGCTCTGTAACTAGTAGTAATACTACTTCCAACTATGACTATAGGCATCATAGTGCCATATAAAATAAAGTAAAGGTTAGGCCTAGGCTTTTTGGCTTATTAAAAAAAAAAAGGTGAATATTTTTGGCTACACCTTGCTTTTATTTAGTTCTAATTAATATTAATATTTGTTAAGTAAGGCAGGCTTGTTTATATTCTGGTAGGGCGAAAAGTGCCCTTTTAGTAACATTTAGTCTTTAGTACTTTTAGGTCACGTTTACTTTTAGCCTTAGCGAGATAAGCGAAGTCATAATAATAAATAATAATAATAACCATAATAATACATGACGGGTAGGGACTGAGAATGATGATGATGCTTGAGTACTTTTATATTATAGCGGCTAGTGTACATGGAGAATAGGATAGGTCCTAAAACTGAGCCCTGCTTTCTTCATAAAAAATTGGCCTAATTGCCTAATCATGCTGAATGAATCTACGTAGCAAGTTTAAATGGACTTTATTGAAGACTCACAGATATGGGACAAGATATAAGATCTGTCTATGACCTGCAGCTGCCTCCTTTCCTGGCATAATTTAATTGTCATGATTTTACAAACTGCATCACAAAAATAGTCATTTATTTTATTTCAGAAATTCAGATATTTTTACAAGTTGTAATTAAAGTTATTTGATGATGGCGCATTGACAAGGAAAGGGCAGAAATAGGAAATTTTGAGTTTATTGCGCATGAGGCCAAGCTGATAAAGTAGCATAAAAAATATTGCACCCTAGTAACCATATTTTATAGTATTTTCACAGGACCCGAAAACACTGGAAAAAATCTATCTACAAAACTAACTTAAGTTAAATGCCTAAAACCAATACCAAAACTATTAGACTTTCACTACTTTCAGCCAATGGAAAATATATAGTTTGGAACTATATTAAATATAAAAGCAAGAACATCATCAATCTGTGTTTAGTTTGTAAACAAAAAAAATTCAGAAATTAAAACAGTTTTCACTACTATCAAATCCAAACAGACTAGTTACCATACCTACCTAGTTACTTGTAATGATGTAGGCTAGACCTAAATGTTGTCTTAAATGGATTGAGTTATTAAGTTAGCTTTACTTTATGGTAGCCATTGGCAGATAGGCTACTATTTAATGTTACTAACTAAAGAACTTAGCTAATCTAAAGTTAAGTAGGATAGTCACATGAAATAAATAGATATTATCATTAATACTTAAAAATTAGGATAATCTTGAATTTTATAGTTTTTTATACTGATGACCATAATTTATTATGAATGAATTTTAATTATGCATCAATTTGTTTTGAATTCATCCCCGAAGGACCTAATGAGCAAATGTAAAATATTATCACTCATTCACTGGTAAATGAACTTTAATTTTGAATGCTAAAATCCTAGATTATGCAACTTAGGCTAAACCCTAAGACAAAATAATATATGTTACAATATAGACCTATGCCCCCTGCATATCATGTACATATTTATTTGATAAACCTGCTTGTTCAAATACACATTATTAAATTGTTAACCTTATTACACTTTTAAGTCTACCAAGTGAAAGAAGGTAATAAAGTTAATAATTATTAATAATAATAATAAAGTTTATTTGAAAAACACGCTTCATCCCCAAAGGCTCGAAGCGCGGTACAAAGTCAACCATTTAAAAAAAAAAAATCTATAATTTACCACATTTAAAACAAACGCAACACTACAAAAACTAATTACAAGCATACCAACTCAAAGTCTTTCTACCCATTTCAACCCTAAGCAACACAGCCAATATGCATTAACTGGAAAATATGGTAGACAACATCATCCCAGAAGGTGTTTGCGAAATAGATGTGTCTTTTAATCGGTTTTAAAGGACTCCAGTGTCTGGTTGTTTCTGAGAGCGACAGGAAGGGCGTTCCAAATTATTGGCCCAGCAAATGCGAAAGTGTGCTTTCCGTAAGTCTCAAGGCGAACACGCTGTGTCGAGAGTTTGCCACTATCGGATGAGCGGAGTTGTCTAGTGGGTACATAAGGCGTCAGCAGCTCTTTGAGATAGGACGGCACTAGGTCGTGTAAGCAGCGGTAGCACAAAGTTGCAATTTTGTACTCCATGCCAGCGCGGACCCGCAGCCAGTGCAGCTCTCTCAGGAGTGTTTTAGCATGGTCAAACTTGCCTTTGCGAAGAACAATGCAAGCCGCATTATTCTGTGCTATTTGAATTTTATCCAGGAGCGTAGCTGGAAGACCCACCATGAGAGCGTTGCAGTAGTCCATGCGTGATAGCACAAATGCAGACATCAGCCTCTTTGTTGCATCAATTGTTAAGAAGGGCCTAATGTGACTAATCCTGTGCAGCTCTAGAAAAGTCGCCTTGCATAGCTTGTTAATGTGACTTTCCAAAGTTAGTGTTCTATCTAGGTAGACACCCAGGTACCGCACTGTTTAAGCTAACTCAATATGCACACCTGAGAGAGTAAGTGATGTTGTGTTATTTGCAGATTTTTGCTTCTGAGCAGTAGCAATGGGGATCAGCTCAGTCTTATCATTCAATTTGAGCTTGTTTATGGTCATCCAGTGCTTAACTGAGTTCTGTCTTCTGTGTCATACTGAGAAGCTGAGGGAACTGAGAGGGGATCACGGATTAATGAAATTGGGTGTCATCCGCGAACATGGGGTATTGCATGTCAAACTGCTTCATCACAGCACCCAGGGGCTGAATGTACATCTTGAAAAGCACCAGGCCTAGGACCGAGCCCTGGGGTACTTGGATATTAGATTTCTTAGAGTGATGCGCCCTGTATGCCGACTGGAAAGGTTCAAACAAGTCACACTGAATGAGGTGATCTAGGAGTTGGCGGAGAATGACTTTTTCTAAAATTTTGGATACAAATGGTAGATTTGAGACGGTACGATAATTTTCCATCACATTTGGGTCAAGATTTGCTTTCTTTAACAGTGGAGTGACAACCGCCTCTTTAAAAGAAGATGGAACAATACCAGTTGTCAAGCACTGATTTCTGATACCAGTTATGATGGGGACTATTTCATCCAGACATTCATGCAACAGCCCTGGGTCAAGCAAACATGACTTTCTTGGGGTATCAGCCAGGATTTTCCTCACATTCAATTCATTGACTTCAACAAATTAACCCATAGGAGAGCCGTGGAAAAGTGAGAATTCTGGGGCAGCATTGTTGCAACTGTCAAGTCTCACCCTGATCTTCTTAGCTTTCATAATAAAGAAGTCATTTAGAGCGTCTGGCAGCTCGCCTACAGCAAAATGTTATTTGGCAGAGATGTATCCTTGTATTTACCGGTCAGCAGACCCACAATGCGAAGTAAGTCCTTGCTTGAGCTGCTGTCTATAATCTGATGACTAACATGCTCAGTCCTAGCTGCAAGGACCAACTTTTTGGTTCGTTCCCTTTGGTCAACAAAGATTTGTCTGTGCACGGTCAAGCCCGGCTTCTGCCATTGGCGTTCTGCACGTCGCTGCTTCTGCTTCGCGTCCTTAATTTCGGGCCGGAAGGTCGGTCTGTAACGCGCCGTGTTGACAGTGGTGCATGTCTGTCTATGATGACTCGAAGGCCATTGTTGTAGTCTGTCACAGGGTCTTTTTCACTGAACCTGAGGGCGGCGACGTCGCATCTGAAGGCTACTATATCAATTTTTTGGAGGTCACGAGATGTGACTGTGCACAGAGGGTGCCCTGGCTTCCTCAAGTCAAAGACTATGGGAAAGTGATCAGAGATCATTTTATCTTCAATAAGGAGGTTGCGGATCACAGCTGTGCGGTCCTCTCTGACATCAAGCCAATCCAGGATGTGACCCCTCGTCTGTGTTGGGACATTGACAAGCTGAATCATACTGTATGTGTCAAGAGCTGATTTCAGAGTCTTCACATATCTGTTAGTGGTGGAATTGAAATGGCAATTGGTATCACCTATTATGATGACCTTGTTATTTGTAGAGGCGTACGTGTCTAGGAGCTGTATAAACTCAGCAGTAAACTGGGAGACCTTCAACTTATTTCATTGGGAGGTGGCCTGTATATGCACAGAAGCGTAATCGCTTTGTCACAATAATTAAGTTGCATCTTGCAAATCTCAAATGAAACAAACTGGTCCGATTTTGAGAATACCCCCGCTACCACACGACAGCCTTGGGCAAGAATGAAGGAGGTAGTCCGCAGGTGTAATTTCTTGCAGCTTGACCTCATCTCCGACCTGCTTAAACCACGTCTCCATAATGAACACAAGGTCGGCCTTGCTCTCAAAAATAAGATCACACACCTCAAATGTCTTGTTCCTTGATGACTGGGAGTTGAAAAACAGCACCCCGAAGTGCCGTGATTGCGGCCTCACAAAAAAATTAACATGACTATAATATAGTGCATAACATATTTCACAATACAGCCTCAAGAGGATTAAAAAAACCCAAAGCATTAAGTCACAAGAAAACACAGGCCCCTTTTTAACAAAAAAAAGTAACTGTAACCTGTATTTTTTTCAATGACTAACTTGACCTCTCAATATCAAACCAATCAAAAACTGTATGTGACATTTATAAAAGAATTACAATTAATCTTATTCATCAAACTCGATTATTTGCACCCCTAATACAATCACGGTGGAAATTAATGCCTGGTGAATATTGTTTGGAAATTTAATTTATTATTTTTTAAATTAAAAAATATTTTAATTTTTATTTAGCTAATTGATAACATTATTCTTCATCAGATATATATTTTGCTGCTGTGGTGAAATTATCAAAGTTTTCAATACAACTAATGGAGAACTTTTACATGATCTCAAAGGACACTCTAAAGTAGTTACTGGACTCGCCATAAATCCCAGCAATGTTTTGCAAGTAAGCAGTTACATCATTAATTTGAAAAATCAATTTATTTTACTCTCTTGCTCCAGTAAAATATTCAGATCAAACAGCAATTGATTATATTATATATTGCAGCATTCTTAGTCAGGAATTTGCATCACAGCACAAAGCACTGCAAATATAATCTTTATATTTTAGCAGTTAAACTTTGTGATTCAAAAATGTATTAATAATTTAATGTTACTTAATTACAGTAATATTTAATATATAAGTATTTCATTAGACTATATAAGTACATCACAAATTTTTGTGTTACACAAAACAAAAAACATTATTGGATTTTAAAATTTTTATTTGAAACATGGTATTTGATTGATTGACTTAATTTCTCGCTTCCATAGATGTTATCTTGTGGCCAAGATGGACTTCTTATCTATTGGGATTATCTAGATGGAGTAAGGTTAAAGGCAAGTAATGTGTTATTCATATTGTTTCAGTGATTATATATGGGCTCAGGAATTAGAGATTGTGAGAAATTTTGTTAATTGTTACATTTTAAAATAAAATCTAATTTGCTCGATTTAATTTTCTTTCATCAAACACTTCTTTGATGCATGTATATAAGTATTTCACTATTTCTTACAAATAAGAATAACTATTATTTGTTTCTGATTTTTTTAGCAACATGATTTACATTTATCTTTGTATGGCATTGTTTCAATCAATGCAGAGAAAAAGTTTATAATGATGCTTGCCCAGACTTCAGAGCATAACAAAAGTAAGTCTGAGAAAATGAAGATACCTAAAGTTCTTTCAAATAAATTTCTTTATAATTTTTATTTTGAATAAGCATCATTTTTTTAAAAAATGAAGTCTTATCATTTGAATAAGAAAAGTATATATATATATAATATTGTGGGCTTATTTAACATACATTGAGCCAACAGCTACTCACCCACAAGGGGAAGGACTTTATTAGAGTAGAAGTTCATTCATTCCCATTATTGCTGCATGAATCAAAGTGAAAATGTATCACCTGAAGCACCCCACATAGAGCTTTCAGATTGTCCTTAATTTTTATCCATTTTAATTTTGGAAAGAAAAAGGGGACCTTAAATTCTTAACAGTATATAAAGTGGGATTTTCTTGGTGTATTTACATACTGATGATTAACAGCACCAATTATAAAATCTAAATTTTTCAAGAACTATTTTAGTTAGTCACACATTAGTGTTTAAAATTTGTGAATTAATGTAGTTTAAGAGAAACATTTTTTTTAATGCAGTTACACATATACACCAGGATTCCCTATAATAATCAACTTGTGCACATATCCAACTTTTTTTATTTGACACAATTGACATAACTATATTGAATGCATTAAGACAGATCTAGGTGGTTATATATATAATACACATATACACATGATTCTGTATCACTCACCTAGTTCTTTATTCTACTAGCTCAGTCATGTTGTTAAAATTCATAAAATGCACACACCAGTTTCATATTTTAAGTTGTTTAATTCTATTTTGATTTTTCTTTGGTGGTCTTTCAAATCAGCATTTTGCCTGATGTTATGGAAAAAGAAATCAGGTGCAGAATTTTCCAAGCCCAAAATGTTAATTCAACATTGTGATGGTGCACACCAATTGGTGTCTTTTGGCTGCTCTGTAAGTCAGGAAGCATGTTTATCCACTTTATATTCTAGCTTATTATAAACAGAAAAATTCATAAACTAAGCATAACTAATTCAAACTAAGGGCCGTAGTTAGCATTTATTATCAATGTTTGATTTAAGAAACTCTATTTTTATATATTTATTATAAATTGTCTTTGAGTGGGCGATACATACATTAAAACTTACCTTGGCCTAAGAATTAGCACACTAATTAAGTATAGCAATAATATATAATATATATTCTAAATATGGGTACTATTAAACTATATGATAGTCGCTCCCTAAAAAAATGTCTTCAAGCATTATGATTTAATATCCAAAAACAAATGGTCTGATTTAATTTCATTTTACTTTTATCAATAATCAAATCTCATTTCCAGAAAGAAATTGTTGCATCTGGGCTGAAGCATGAACTTTCTATTCATTCTATGAAAAATACATCCACCAAAATGTAAGTTTTATTTCCTTTCATTGACCTTCTAAATGAATTTCATATGATCTATTCAAAGTAAAGTTTAAAAAAATATTAAACATGTTACATTCTGTATTAGTATAATTACGGCTACTGAACAAGACTACATCAAAAAGAATAAAATAAGAAAATAATCTTTTTTTAAATGGATAATGTAGTGGCGAAAGCTAGTGAATTGATGTTAACAATTTATTACTCAATTTTTTTTTTCTAAAATATAAATAAAATATACCAAGTCTAAAATTTAGTATATTACAATAACAAACAAAAATAATATTACCACTCCATCACTTTCTTACCCTTGTCGAGTTGGTTTTATGTCCCACTCTGTAGCGTGCTACCTTTTTATACTTGTCATGAAATGGTTCAGAAAGGAATACAAGAGTTAACATAATACAGATGCTTTCACTAAAAGATCAAGATCTATGATGAAATTTTAGTCACAATTATTATTTTAGATAATTAATTTTCAAACTTATATTATATAAAAACAATCTTTAATTAGAATTTATATGGTAACATTGTCTGCCTCTGAACCAGGAGCTTGTGTTTTTGATTTTTGGGAGGTCAGTCTCCCTATGAGTGAGCCGGTTGAAATTGTTTAGTTGGTAAAGTAATGAAACTATTCAAAACCTTTATATCAACAAGGTTTAAATTTAAAAAAGTCTTTCATAACCATATATACAATATATATCATCCTTACGCCATACTATAGTGGTGAGTGGTAAGAAAAATGAAATAAAAAGTTGGAATTCTATTTAAATTCATCATTATCATCATCATCGTGTCCCTTAGTCCTTGGACCGTTGGGGCGCCACAGATGACATGTGAACTATCCTCCTCCATTCATCATTGTCTTCTGCACTACGCACAGCATCGTCCAGTGTTAGTCCTGTCCACTCTTTGATGTTATCCTCCCATCTTTTTCTTTGCCTTCCTCTTCTTCTCCCTCCTCTCATGGTGCCCTGCAAGCCCTTGTTTCCTTGTTACGTGGCCTTACCATTTTAGTTTGCGTTTTTTCACAGTCACCAGTAGGTCATCGTACTCCCCAATTGCCTGGCGAACCCTTTCTTTCACTGTATCATTGGAGAAATGGTCCCTATAGCAGATGCCAAAAATGCTTCTGAAGCATCTCATCTCCATCGCCTTTATTTCCCTTTCAAGATCAGCTGTTAATGTCCAGGATTCGCAGGCATACAGGAAAATGGAGAGGACTAATGAGCGGATCAGCCTGATTTTGGTGCTGGGGGCTACATTTTTGTCATTCCATATTTTCTTGAGCCTGTTAAGTGCTGTTGTAGTCTGCCCAATCCTGAACATCAGTTCAGGCTTGGAGCCTTCTTCTGAGACTATTGCTCCTAGGTATTTGAAGCGGCCAACAGTCTCTAGTCTTTCTTCCCTGACCTTAATTTCAGTGGTGATGCCTGTGGTGTTATTCGTCATCAGTTTTGTCTTTTTAGCACTGATTAGCATGCCGTAGGACGACAAGGTCTTATCGAGACTCTTTGCCAGGTTGGCTAGCTCTTCTTTGTTCCCAGCCAATCCGTCTATGTCGTCCGCAAAGCGTAGGTTGGTGATTGTTCTGCCACCAATGCTGACTGTTCCTTCATGTGCTTCCAGAGCATCTGACATAATTCTCTCTAGAAGATTTAAATTCAAAGAAATCAAATAAAAATGATGACAGTTCAAATCTCATCAATTAATTTTTTGTCCACAGTGTAAGTGATAATGACAGGTTCAACAAGTTTAAGTCTATAACGTGTGTGGCTTGTCATCCTACTGAATACTCTATTGCTACTGGTCTGGAAAATGGGAAAATCCTTGTATGGTAATGTAATTAAAATATTCTTTAATATGATTTTGAAGATTCCACTGCTAAAACTATGTATGAATGTGAGACTTATTACTGGTTTACAATTTCAGTACCTCAAAATAAATGAACTATCAAAGACTTAGTACTGGTTTACAACTTCAGTCTTTAAATATTCTCTGTGACCATTATTTTCAGGCATAATTTTTATAACGAAGGTCAGCCACTGACATCAGTTATGCACTGGCATGCTCTCTCTGTGTTGAGTTTGGAATTTACACCTGATGGTGAGAAATTTACAAATCATTGACTAAATTATACTTTTTAAATTTACTCTTGTTTATTGCTTGACGCACATCGATACCTAAGGTATTAGTTTACCAAGTCAGATTCTGTCATAAATTAAGTAAAAATAATAATTGAGGGCCTTCGTACACTGCTTGCAGTTGCATGCATATCATTTATGTTTCTTTTTTCTCTAGAAAACTAATTTATTTTGACAGGTTCAAATCTGCTAAGTGGAGGACATGAATGTGTGTTGGTCAGATGGCAGATAGGAAATCATAATCAATGTGATTTTAAGCCACGCATGGGATCACCAATAAATCAAATAGCGATTTCACCAGATGGAAACTTTTATGCCACTAAACACAATGATAATGGTAATTACTTATAACATGTGTGTAATGATTTAAATTCACTGCGGTTTTTCATTTGATTTTTTTGTTTGCTTTTTCAAGTCATAAATGTGGGTGAAGTGCCATTAAAAAAAATTTTTGTAAGCTTAAATTTTCAACAATTTATGATAAGCATGAAAACATTTTAATTTTAGCAGTGCCTGTTTAATTTTATTTTCTACTAAGGCAAGGCTTAGGTTATATTATGTTTGTGAAAAGATTACCTTTATCTCTTCCAGTTATTCAGCTTTTAGACATTGATTTGAAGATTCAACAAGTTTATCGAGGACTGACACATTGTAATTTTAGTTCCATGTACAGTAAATCCCCTATCCCTAGTGGTCTCAATTATGATCCAAGGTCAAGGACCCTTGTTACTAATGGTTTGCCTGGTCATCTTCAGTTTTATTCACTAGTCATGAACAGGCAGATTTTTAATGTAAGTTTTAGTGTGTGATATTTCTGTAATTAAATGTTAGTACTAAAGTTTCCTATAAATTGTTATCACTGTCTTTTTTTAACCTATGGCGTGTAATGCCAACAAATTTTCCATGCAATTTAGTTTGTAAAAAAAAAATATTTATGTGATTATACCGTAATATGCTGCATAAAAAATAAATTGTACTTGTACTTCCAAGTTTTTAGTTTTTTCACCATATGAGTACAATCTTGTCTACATCATGTTTTTTAAAATAAATTATTCATCAGCTTGATATAGTTGGACAGAATTTTGTCTCTGCGGATTCAAATGATCAAAATAAATACCGCACTGAGGTTTTGTGCTCAGCTATCAGTGATGATGGGGAGTGGTTGGCTACTTTTGAAATGTGGGATGATGGCTTCTTTAGTCCAGATTTGAGGCTCAAATTCTGGGTCTACAGCCCAGAGGTTCAGACGTAAGTATCTAAAAATTGTTTTAACACTTCAGAGTACCAAGGTTTTGTCAAAACCATTTTAGTATGAAGGCATTGTGGTAACAGGTACTACAAATTAACCCATAACCTTCTGGTTGTGAAGCCAGCAAAAAAAGCATTCTACCACAGGGCTGACGAGACAGTAGTTAAGTCTCAAAAGGGGAAATAAAATTCAAATTGTCTGAAATTGAATTATAACCTTATGTTTCAACTTTAAACTAATGAATGCAACTCTTAATTATTTTCATTACATAGTTAAAAGTAAATTCATCTTTGCCATAAGGCAACGTTGGTATTATATGTGTTACCTCAAGACTTGAACTTATTAATATTATGTAAGCTCTTTACTGTGTGAATTATAAATGTCATCTTTAAAAATGATTGATTTATAATTGCTATAATTGTATGTTTTCATTTAAATTCTATCATCTTTTTAAAAGCGTGTCCTTTGCTCACTTCAATAGCTTAGTACTAAGGCTATCATGTTCAAACATTTGTTAATCCCAACTGTATTTTTTTGGCAGATATTCTCTGAACACAACCGTGGAACACCCACATGATCAAAAGATAATTAGCCTTTTGTTCCGGCCACAACCGCCATCCCAGCAATCCAAGAAGAATCCAATGCTTATAACTGTGGGAGCTGACTTTTGCTACAAGATGTGGGCATTGGTCGATGATTCGGACATTTATAGTAAGTTCATTCTCTCTTTGTTTTCATACAATATGTGGGACTGTCCTTTTTAATCAAATTCAGACCCATTCATGTTGGTCAACTAATTTTTTCCGGCTATGATCTGAGTGATAAAAGAGGTTGGCTTTAACAACAAAAATGTTTATCCAATAGGAAGTAACACCAGATGGAATTGTGAGTCTGTGGGATTTTACCGTGGTCTTGATGTAGGCTGTGCTGATTTCTCTGTCGACGGATCAACCTTAGCTGTTGGCTTTAAACATCTTCTTACACTTTGGGACCCAGACAGTGATGTTGTTCGTGTCACATTATCAAATGCATTGGCAGAAAGAGAGGACATTTTGTAAGCATTCTTTTTTTAATCTTAGCTTTTAACACACAAACAATTTTTAAAATTATTTCTTATAATTTAATTTATTACCTGTAGAAAAGAATGATAACTTTGTATATGCCTTCAGGATATTTTGTAAAACATTAATCATAATTTCAGACATTTAAAATTTGGAAGTTGTAAGTCTCTGCATCATTTGGTGTGTGCTACTAAAAAGTCATTAATATCTTGGGATCTTCTTACATTGACCAGTAAGTATAAATCAATAAATTACTTAATAGTTTATATTTTCTTTCCTACCACTTAGGAGATGATGCTCTCCCCCCCCCCCCCCCCCCCCCCCCCCCCCCCCCCCCCCCCTCCCTTCTGCCACATTGCCATCATTTTATCCAATCCAAAGCAAAGCATTTTAAATATTTTTATTATTGTATCTGCGAAGTAATGATTTCATACATTAAACAAAAAATTCATTGAATTTGTTCAGTTAAAATCTACTGCTCTAATGTAATACTGGTAATGATCATATGTGGATTTGGAGAGTCCAGATGTTAATTTCTTTTTATTCTCATTTCTATAGGAATTTATTATTGCATCATAATCATAATGCCTAAACATTTGATTAAAAATAGTTTGTTTTTTTAAAAATATTTATATTTGCAGTTTTGTGGAAAGTTGATGTTGAGATCAGTTCTCTTGTAAGAGACCCTTCAACAGACATCATGGCATACATCTCTAATAAAAAAACATGTAAGTTATTTATATCGTAAAGTAACAAAATGAACCAGACTTAAACGGCAATGCTGAAGTTCATTAAGATATTTTTTTTCTTACTTTTCAGTATGTTTCTTTAGACCTAGCAGTGCCCAGCTTGTGTACACACAGGATAACATCAGCGCCTCTGATATACAAGATGTTATCTTTGTACCAGATGGACGAACAAAAAACATTGTTGATCTTGGCTGGCCTGGAAGCTCACAAATATACATATATAATTCACAACAACAACTCATCACCTTAGATTTGGATATTCAGAAGCATGAAAATCAAAATAAGGTAAAGAGAACTATTTTATGAGCATTGCTTTAAGCAATTCAAAGTTCCTTGTTTAAATTCCCAGTTGAACAAAAGTCAGCTTTTATCTATCAGCTTGTGTTTTGCCATAGGCCAATTAAAATGTATTATGTTATAGAGTTTTCAGAGCTTAACTCCCCTCAAAATCATGTTTTAGATTTAGCAATTTTTTTAATCAAACTGCTAGACAAATGCAGCTAAATGTTTACTTTTAAATTACAAAAGAACACTATCCTAAATATAAAATTAAGCAGAGATCGAAAGAAAATTTTGATGGGGAAATCGCTTTTGAAATAACAATTGATAACTAAGTTGGGCTTAATAGCGTGCTCTGTTTTATTTCCTTTGATTTGGTGCCTTTTTAAAATCAAAATTATTGTATCACTAGCTTTTATTTTGCCTTAACTTCATTAATGAAACACAATGAACAGATCAGACATAGCAATACAGAGAGTTAAATAGAGAGGTGTCAAATATTTTGTTGTCTAATGTCTTGTGATGCATGTCAAATATTTCGCCTGGTCTATTACATCCAACTTCACGACTGTCTCTCCCTCTGATAAGAAGCAACAATGTCCAATGAACACTAGACATTACTTAATTATTTACGCTACATAAATCACATGATTCCTTGACATCAGGATAATGTTATAACAATTATAGTTGCGATGCAGAGAATAGATATACACAGGCAAAAAGCTCTACAGCGAATCTAATCCAAAAATACTATCCTCTCTGTCGCTCACACTGACTCTAGATCCCTCGTTCACTCTGACATTCAAAATTCTTGTCTCCCCTTTTATCACCCAAAATTCAAGTACCCGTCCATGGCTTGAAAAGAGTTCACACTTGTTCACATAACCCAATTATCACAAATCACAACACACACTGCATGACCTTGACAAAAGGACACAACTTCCAAGAAAATTCAGCAAACGAGGCACAAAACAGGGGTCTTTGTTACTTGCTATATATTAGTGGTATTATATTTGTAATTTATATGTTATTGTTGTTACATTAAGAGGGCCTCAGATTATTAATGATAGGCAAAGAACCAATCAGAGTTTGGAATAGAGAAGGTAAAATTGGAGGGACACACTTTCCAAGATATTCAGCAAACACTCTTACTTAAGTTTTCACACACAAAAAAAAAAACATTCAAGATTTGGTAAGTAATTATTTTATTGTTTGAAAGTGTATTTTTGTATTACCGTAACAATGCAAAAATGTTCATTTTGCTCCTCAGCATCCATGTGTTAACTTAAACTATGGTTTCATTTAGATTCATATTGCTCAAAACCTGCCTGAAAACAGTCTCAAATCAATGATGGCAGAAAAACTGGTGAGAGATCTCCATGTTGAAGACATTAAAGAAACTATGGGCAGTACAAAAGTTGGTGATGATGAATTTATTGCAATGGTAAGAAAGTAAAGTTTGCCCATTTAAGGAAAACAATATGCTTTAGTTTTAATACTCAAGAAATTTTTAGGAGATAAAAATGATTTAATGAAATATTTCTTTATTTAAGAACCTAGAATTTTAAAATAGCTCTTGGAAAAATGTTCATCAGTTTTTTCTATATCAACAATGTATATTTCTCAACTTTGTCAGATGATCTAATAATTAATATGTGTGCTAACAAATAACTGCAGAGTTTATCATTTATAAAATTAAGTTTAACAAGTAAAAATTACTACTGGTAGAAAATACCTGTTGATAATTACATCAGCAATTTTTATATTCACCTTAATTGAAAAAATATTGTATCAGTATCAGCACATAAGTTTTAGTGCAAATAAATCTCCAGTTTTTCTGAACAATTTTTCTCTTTTTTTTTGGTGGCAATTTAGCTTCTTCATTCCAATGAGCCAGTTTTGATGCACTGTGAAAAATATCTGAGTCGTCTCCTTGTAAAGAAGTGAGTATTTGATTATTAGCACTTCATTCAACTAGCTGTTTATAAATGTGTTGTGTACCATAATAAATAGTGTCAGAAACTGTTTTATCATTAATGATAAACCGAGAGGAATAGTGGTCATGATTAGTAATAACGGCAATATGCAGTACTAAAACTGTCACTGGTGTCAATTTATATTAGGGTACTGTCTGTAGTTTAACCCTTTCAGTCTCTCGACAGCTTTCAGGCCCTTATGCCTTAGTCACGTTACAGCCTAATCCCGCTGTAAAGAACACCCTTTTCAACATTTCTTAGTGAAAGTAACTTTCTTATTAAGGAGTTACAAAGAACCTATTTATAAACACGAATCTCTGCTCTTGTTGGGGTTCGGTGGTTGTGCGCTTGATTTTACGCTACTTTTATATTTTTTTTAAAACAGTGCTTTGTTGACAGTAGATCTAAGCTTAATGGTGTTTGCCCTTCTAGATTGCTTCAAACTGCAAGTACATCGGCTTTTAGTGTCGACAGTAATGAATATGATGCAGAAGTAATGGAAATAAAAGTTATGTTGATATTGAACTAGTTCAAAGTCTTATTCCAGATGGGTCAGAAGATTAAGACAACGATAATAGATCTCAATGGTCTAACCATTTTCGTTCAATTGATGTTGAAGAATTTTAGATGTAATTGGTCCAAATGTTGACTTACTTACATTACATCTTTTCTCTACAATAATTCATAATTTTGTTCATGAATGGATGAAAGATTGATTTTTAATAATAAATTTTTAAAGTCGGCAACGTATGGTCAAAGTCTAGTTATATTTCCCTTTGCTTGGTACTGAAGGTAATTTCTTAATGATTAATGGGCACCATGATACTGAAAGGGTTAAACATTTAAGAGTGGCCCTAGAAGATAGGATTCATTTTTTATTGTTTGTACAAAAGATAGATGACACTTGATTTGTTGTGACTTTATCTAATTTTTCCAATACCCTGTACTTATTATTTACTTATTTTACAACTTGATCAGTCTTCCCCATATTATTTCTATTTTTTGTGTCTAGGAATTTTATTTTCTTAAAAAAGTCATTAATAATTTACTTTCACAAACTTCAGGTATATTTTAAAATAAATTATATGTACATTTTTTAGAAAACAAAAACGCAAAATAGATGGAGGAACTTCTTTGAGTGATAAAGATGACAGCAGCAGTGATGAGGAATCTGCTTCAAGTTCTGGATCTGAAACAGAGCCAGCAAATCATGACACACCTAAAAAGAGGATTAAAAAAGCAAAGTATGAGAACACTGAATATTCCTATAACCAGACACCTAAACCTATTCACGATATGGATAAAATTTTATCTAAATCTTCTGACTGGGTCAAATGGTGTGCTTCATTGAGTTTGAAATAAATTACCTGGACCAGTTAAATTTAGTGGAAAAAATCATTTAACATTGATTAGGCATGTGATTTCACCAAATTATTGAGGACTGAATTTTGAGCTTAAGAAGGATCCATTGCAGAGAGATTAGAGTGCTGGAAAAGGAGAAAATCCTCTTATAAAAATGTATTTTTCATTTTGAGATGTTGACATAGGGTACGGATACTTTATTAAATAGGTGCACATTTTTCAAAACTAACATTAAACAATATAAAATATGTTCTTTAAATTTTGTTTTGACTTCTGATCAGAACAGTGACTGATGTGAGAATGTTTGTTTTGTCCTGTTAAAAAGAAATGGAACTAAATTTATTTTAGTAGAAAAGTATGCACATATTACTAGTATTTGCTATCTTAACCAAACTACCATGGGGCTTGTTTATATGTGATATCTTTTTATGTTGTCCCAACACTCAGCTGAGTAGGTCTAAAGTTATCTGCCTGCTTGAAGTACTGTCCAAAACTTTTCATTTTGCCATGGAGGAAGATGGCTAACATAAACATCCTTACTTTATAACTGATTACACTTACACTGTGTAGCCTAATGATAATATATTATTTAGAATATTAATTAAAATTATATTACACTTTGTCCTTCAAAATTTAGTTTCAGTGGTCTCGTTACACATTTAAAATAAATTCAAACTGCAAGCACAATAGTTGCAAAACAAAATTACACAGAAACAGTAATCATAAAAGCAACAGTAACATCAAAATTGAGCTTAGTGGCTTCTACTACACATATAGTCTCCAAGAATCAATCTTTGCAGTGTTTAGCCAAACAAATTTCATATTCCATGCAGCTTGTTAGTAATTTGAAGCAATTAAAATGAAAAAACACCTCTAAGAAAGAAGAAATTCAGTAGATGGCTTAATTCCTTGCATCAGAATAAATTGTTCTATTTCAGCCCTGTTTAATTTTACATACAGTGGGGTATATATTAAAAAATTTTAACCATCTAAATTTGGGTCACCTGCCTCTAGATTTGAATCATCAAAATTTGGTGCATTCTATCTTTTTTTTTTCTGACATCTGTCCATCACAATGTGACAATGGTGTAGACTTCAACAAGGTCTGAGATTTTTCTTTATGAGTATAAGTGCTAGTTTCCTAGACAGCAAATCTACTCTCTCCATGCACCTGGATAACCCAAGGGAACATCTTATGTGGCTTGGCACCAGTATCGTTGCAGGAGTTGTGTCAGTGTTATCCATCTATGGGACTCCATGTCTGGGTTTGAATTCAGAGTCTTTCCTTCTCTTAGATGAGTTGCCGTCCAAGGCTATGGAGGACCATCCACCTGGGGTGCTGGTGATAATTGTGCGTGTCTAGGTGAGGGGGGGGGGGGAGATTGAACTCCAGTCCACAAGCTTTTTGGATTGACTCAGATTAGAGCACTTGGCCACTTGTGTAAATATCATGGGTAATAAAATGTCAAATTGAATGCAAAAATATGGTTGCATAAATTATGTTTAATTTCAATTTAACAATAACACATTTTAAATGTAATTAATTTTAAAAAATCGGTGATGTTGGTTATCTTACAGTAAAAACATCTCTGATATTACACCACACTTCTTTCCAGTTGATCTTTATCTGTTCTGCTGCGATTTTTGGTAGAGGGGCCAACTGGGTAGCATCTAGCGGTTGTCCATGCTTGTCTGTAGGAAGGTATTTGACATGTCCACCATCTGATATGTCCTGTATAATTTGCCCAACATTGTAATGGACCATTTGCCTCTCCATAAATGGCACAATAAAGTTATACTTATTGATCATTTGGTTAATTTCCTCCACTTGATTTTTAAACTTGTCAATGTGAAAGTTCCATCGGACTTCACTTTCTTCAGAATATGGGGGTGGCCCTAACTGTTCACGAAGTACGGCCAGTTTTTCTCTTGCAGTGCATATACTGTCTCTAAAAATAAAACATTATTTTTAACATTTATTACAAATGTAAGCCAGCATTTATACTTATATAGACTTCATTACATTAACTACAGTCAATAAAAATTTATTTGTACTTTTACTTTTGGTGTCATACAGATTGGTCCTTAAATGCATTACTTTTAAGAATATTTACCTTATCTCTTTGGACAGCATAATCCACTCTGGTTTAAAACCATTATTGGCCATAATTTTATTAATGTTATGGGTGGTTAGGTCAATAAATGGATTGTAGTCAGAGCGATCAAGTGGCTTCCCGTATCCAGATAAATTGTCAAAATCACCTTTCTGCATTGACTCTCTTATCATGTCATCAACTACTCTGTCTATCAGGTTACTGTAAGTGTAAGTTCATACAAACTTGTCAGCCTTAGTAGACTTAAACTGTATCATTCTCTCCCCCAACATCTATTTACTTTTTATGTTATTTTAGTTTTAATAATTAATCGGGACCTGTCAGTTAAAATTTGTAACTATGACAATTAAAATAATTAAAGGCCTGATTTTCTAAGATGGGATGATAAACTTAAAACCAAGTGACTTACTTGGTGTTTTTTTTTGGTTTAAATGTCTCCAAGAGTTGGATTCTTCAAATCATACCTTATTTTAATTTTGCGAGCTTCAACTTTATCTTTAGTCAGCAGGGCACTCTCATTGCTTCCATATTTCAATTTCCGGTGCTCATATACAGACTCAGCTGCTTGAGCAACTCGTACTTGTTTATACTGGCGCTCTCTTTTGCTTGGTGAACCAAAGCCTACTCCCTGAAGTCAAAGTTACATATCACCAGTTACACTAAGTCTAAGCAAACACTTGGTACACATAGAATAACACTTACTACTCTTGGTATAATCATGGAAACATTATTGGCTGCTCCCATCATCATTAATGGTTAGTATTGATTTGGAACCACCACCTTTGGTTCAGTAAAACTCTGTAACACTACAGTTACTTACATTTTGAAATTTTTCTATCTTTATCTAACCTAAATTTTTCGACGAAATAAAAAGAAAAACAGTGTAAATGGTTAACCACAGAACTTCACTTCAAAAGTTAAGTATTGTCGATGCTGAGGCACGGTGTGCTCAACAACATGTTGGTTTTCTGCTTTCTTTGCCTCTTCTTCATGAACAGCTGCACTTCTCTTGTGAGCCTGAAATATTGATACAGGTACCATGATAAATATTTATGGAGATTCAACTCCTGTCTGCAGTTAACTTAATTTTTAAATATAGAGTTATTACCCTTTATACTTAAGGAAGTTAAAGTTATTTAATCTTACATTTTACATGTACAGTGCTTATCAAATTTTTAATTGGTTACTAATCATGTGGGACTACTTTATCATCTTGTTATGATGATTACTGGACACATGATAACCCAAGTGATGTCACTAAAGGGAAGGAATGGTAAGAATTCTTATCTCAATACATACCATTGCAGTCTTGTAAGCTTCTTGAATTTGTGCAAATTTATTTGCATCTCCATTTGCTGTTTTGGTGTCAGGATGATATACTTTCACCTGAGTTAGATAAAAGTTTCAAACATGTTAAAATATCTTTACCCATATACCGTAGCTTTTTTTCCTAAGAATTCCAAATTAAATTTGTACCGGTATTGACTTTGTGAGTAAACTGAATCAAAATCCTTATATTACAATGATTAAAAAATACATTCTAATTTGAAACCTTTTTAAGATATGCATCTCGAAGTTCATCTTCTGTGCAGTCTTTGTCCACATCCAGTAAAGAATAATACTCAGATATTTTTGAGATCTGTTTATGCTTCATTGTAGCCGACTGCCTACCAAATGAGTGAATACATGCAACACTCTTATATAAACTTTGGCATCCATAAGAAACACATTTTTTACAGTTGATCAAAGAATGGAAGATTATAGGTGATGCCAACGTCATTTTTAAAAAAAATCGAAATATGCCATAAGTATTGGTTTCTGAAATGAATTTTTAAAAAAAATTCTATTATTTTCATGTCCATTCTTACATTTTAATCTAAGTTTTTTTTTTATGGCATTATTAAGTGTGGCGATAATAAATTTATTTGCTCATAATAGACAGTTTCAAATATGATGCATTTCTCTCCAATCAAGTTCATGGAAAACAAAAAAGTAGCCGAGTATTAGTAACTGTGTCTGTGTATTATATTGAAGTGTAAGGTCTTAGCGCCGCCCCCCCCCCCCTTTTCAAATCATTATTGTTACACCATTCCCTATACCTGTTAGAATAATATTACAAATATTCAATTAAGTTTATGGAAAAAAAAAAAGTTGGCGAGTTTTTGTTAATGTTTTTGTGTATTATATTGAAATGTAAGGTCTTAGCGCCGCCCCCCCCCCCCTTTTCAAATCATTATTGTTACACCATTCCCTATACCTGTTAGAATAATATTACAAATATGCCAAAGTATTCAGCAACCTCATTTTATTATTAGTTATTATTTCTATTTTTGTTTTGTTCCTGTGTTTTGACTTGTATGTAAGTTAATTGTATAAAGTAGGCATTTGGCTTTCAATTAATAAATAAATGATTGGGGCCAGTGTGTGATGGTAAGGGGGAAAGTGAAAAGAGTAAGGTGGAGGGGGGAAATCATATTTTTAGAAAAGTGAAAGGGCTGAGATCAAGTGTATCTTGAGGGTGGGGGTTATAGGGTGAGAGAAAGGCATTTAAGATTGTGTGAGGTTGACCACTGAGGGGCAGAGGCATAGAAAGAGTGTTAGGATCCAGGGGACAAGATTCACTTTTAAACCTCATCAACTATGGAAACCATTATTTACATCAATAAAATACCATCAAAGCAAATTCACACACCCCCAACCAATGTTCCCTCTAAGGTTTGTTGGTTCGTGCGCAAAATCATACAGTTGTGTGCAAAGTTTTACAGCATCAACTTTTTTGTGTGCAAAACTTTACAGCCCACAAACACACACTTACATGGAAATTTGCTGCACGGATACTCAAAACTGCTGCACGGCGTCTGTGAGATAGCTGCGCGGCCGCTAAGCTGCGCAGCTTAAAGGGAACATTGCCCCCAACTAGTCAGCACCCAGGGATATCTGCCCCCCCCCCCATAGCTACACATCTCTTGAGTGGGACATGAAAGTGTTAGTTTTCTTACATGGAAAGTTGCTGCCCGGATACTCAAAACTGCTGCACGGCGTCTGTGAGATAGCTGCGCGGCCGCTAAGCTGCGCAGCTTAAAGGGAACATTGCCCCCAACTAGTCAGCCCCCAGGGATATCTGCCCCCCCCCCCATAGCTACACATCTCTTGAGTGGGACATGAAAGTGTTAGTTTGGGCAGGAGAGATTGAGGGGAGAACTTGTTAAAGTTATATGTCTCAGTTATGATAGAGGTCATCCATAAATTGAATGACATCTCTACAATTTTGACCTGTGTTTCTCCACATCTTTTTTTTTTTCCTGATAGTCCAAATTAATACATTTGTAACAAAAATTAAGACACCTTTGTCACGCATTGTGAAGTCATGCATGGTTGGCCCCCCTGTGAATATACTCTATACTATAGAAGAGTATGAGTCAGTATGAGGCTTAAAGTTTTAGAATTCAGCCTATATAAATAATATAGTATGGTCAAATTATATATAAATAACAGATTTTTGCCGTACCGGGGTAATAATACTAAAGAAAATTATTATCATACAGAAATTTCAGTTAAATCAGTTCGTGCTAAAAAGGATACAATTGTAAAGGAATGCTACTACTAGCTGATACTACGACTTGCTAATTTAATAATAATAGTATTAATAATCCCTACTTCCACTTCGAGATACCCGTACTCAATTTCAATTGTCAATAAACATTTCACTGTTATTCAGTTCAGTGAGGGAATAAAATGTGAGAGAGAGAAGGAGTTGTACAATTTTAATAAAATCTTGAGGAATGCAGTAATTATTTGAAATGCAAAAACATTGTTATTAGATTACTATTACATTAAATAGATTGTTTAAAAAGGAACCTTTAAAAATTAATAATTATTTTAAATGTAGGTAGCAGTTTATTTAGGTCTAGTAAGAATGTCATACTCCAAGACTTTTACTTTTATACTGCCCCAAAATGCAGCAATCCTACTAATTTTTTAACCAGCGAAATCAGTTTTTAATGAGATACTAAATATTTAAAAGAAGAACAATATAATTCAGACTAGCTTATGATAAAGCAACTCGGCCCATACTGAGTAGAAAACATAAAAAGTTATCACAGCAGTTGCTACTGGCATGAGTAAGGACAATCTGGCAAGGTCTCGTTAAATCTTGAGTCCTACGCATTGGTAATCAATGTTGACATAGAAAGCGTATTGATACTTATTTTAAGTAGTCTAAGTATACTATTTAACAAATAAAATATAATTATTTTGAACTAAATATAAATATTATGGATAAAATAGTCAAATATATTTTATTTAATATTCAATGATTACATCATATGTTTTAAGATGGATAACTACTTTTTAGAAAGATATCCGGCAAACAACACACATCTAGCGCAAACAAGCGTAATGTTGTGTTGTTGAATGTTGATGAAAGCAAGGACAAGGAAGTTATTGCCAAATTTTGCAGCGAAGCGGTATTTATTTTTGCATTGCACGTATTTTAAGACTTCATAAATGCTTTAGCTCAAAAGTAATTGATCATTCATGTTTTTTAATTTCAAATACAATCTATCGTTGACGACAGAGCCGTTGAGGTTTTGTTTAGACACCAACAGTCAGTCGTCAATGATCAATCGGATGATAGTATTGTTTATTTTTTAAATCGAGCGAGAAACAGTTGCTGTAGCAACATAACCATCATGTAGGCTCTTAACACTGCACGTGTAATAAATAAATAAGTAATTTAAACAAATAAAAAGGGCTATTGAGAAAGTATATTTATATACAACAAGAAGCCTAAATGTCCACTCCTCACTCAGCCACTGCCCACTCGCACCAAATTATGGTTATATTAAAGTTATAGGCCCGTAAAATTGGTTATGAGTCATGAGTATTAACTCAAGTCTTCTAAGTTTAAATGACTATTACTAAGTTAACTAAGGCTAGGAACTATAATTATCACTTATAGGCCTATATATTTGGCAGTGTCTACACGTCCGGCGCGCGCCGGACGTCTATCTCCTGCACTATTTGTCCGGCGACCAAGTCACATGACCGCCGTAACAAAGTGGCGAGAGATATCTTGTCGGTCAGCCTTGTTACGTGACTGCAAATGATTCAAAACTATTGTTCATTTTAAAATCTATTTCTCTACCAAGTAATGTACTGAGTATCTTGAATGCAAATAATAGAAAAAAACTTAAGTGAAAGTGGCTTGTAATCATTTTTGTTTAGTTTGTTATTTGAGTTTGTGCACCAGTAATCCATAAAATAAATTAGTATTAGGGGCCAGTGTGGAGTAGGCAACCAATAAAAGTAAAAGATTTCATTTTAAATTGTTAGAAAATATTTAAATACTTCTCATGAAACTACTGTTGCTGATGAACATGATAATATAAATAGAGTATAAAATATTTTACCTTAAAATGGGAGAGAAAAAAAACGATCCTATCCCCAGTATTGATCCTCAAACCATAATGTCGTCGAGCGACCACTCTACCACTAAACCACACAAGATCTACCAAACTGGATATCGTTCGGAATTATAAAAACTACTAGCCGTCCGGCTGTCACGTGACATACCGCCGGATGTATATCTTGAGCACTATTTGTCCGGCGCGCCGGACGTGTAGACACTTCGTATATATTTTGCTTCTGGTGCGTGCTACTCCTCTACAAAACCACCTCGACCCCAACTCCACATTTTTATAGTAATAAATGAGTGAAAAAAGGGCTGTCACGCAGCAAGTTTCCTGCGTGATGGCTAAACTCCTGTAAATAGGTTGATTTTTTTCTTTAGGTGGAGGAGACTATTATTCAGTCTTGTTATTATTCATGTTCCTCTGTCACACAGCACAGTGAGCTTTATGTGTAACATCTGAACTCTGGTAAATAGGTTAATTTTTTTTTTTTAAACTGTTTTTTCACATCTTTTTTGTTAAACTGCAACTATTGCTTCCTAAGTCTTTGTTATGAAATGAACAACAGTATCTTCTCTGTCAACCGGTTCTTGTTCCACGTCACCTCTATTCTGGGATCCAGCAACTGCCTTTTCCTATCAGTGTGTTATTTCTTGAGACAAACGATTGACGAAGGCAATGCACACTCACTACGGCATAAGGCAGTATATTTCATTTCTTACTATAGAATATGAGGAGGTAGCTCTTTTCTTTGTAACACTTGGACCAACTAGGTTATTTCACAAAATACCCGGACGCTGTGTAAAAAAAACTGCACCCAGTTACGCCCTAGTATTAAATATTATTATTAAGAAGGCCTGCTACATTTAATATTTGACCATGGCAGGGCAGGAATTCAGACTTTTTTTATTCTGTCAAAACACAATTGACAATATTTTTTTTTTTTTTTTTAACTTTAATTTTCAAGAAATCACTGAGTTACACCCTTAGTAGGCCATTGAAATTTGGGTATGGTAGGGTTACTAGTAGGGCTGTCAAAAAATAGGAAAAGCACCTAGCTGGGGTACCTGTTGACCCACCACGGAGCCAATACCTAGGTACCCAACAAATTTTGTAGGCATAGAAATGTAGGGAGTCATTAATTTAGTTCTATCACCATAGTCATCGGCTGGTATTATTAATCTATTGATGTAACAGTACTGATTTTTATATTCTACTTCAAATATATCTTCTACTATAAAGATCCTCATTTTATACATTAATTTCTATCATTAATTAAAAACAAAAGCTTCACTTGATGTTTTATGAATGAAGTATGAAATTTTAATTTTAAACCATCTTATGCATGTGCTCTCAGCCATATTTGAATACTGGATTCTCTTGTAATTAAATGAATTTAAAAAAAATGTTTCTTTGTTTCTGTAAATTAGTAAATTCTAATAATATTCTTAAAGGTTGCTAGGCAAGAATGATGTGGTTCGCATCTTCAGCCAAGGGCAGGTGCAGTAAAAATAGACTGGTAGACAGACAATAAACAACCCTTTGCCAAGACTATGTGTGCTGCAAAGGAATCATGTGTAAGGTTTATTGACTTAATTGTGTAAAATTTGTTAATTGCTTAAAATGATTACTATGATTATCACAAAATTGATTAAGATGCAGTTTCCATTTAACTGATTGAACTTAAAGCTTGTAATGTTATGCTAATTTGTTTCTGCAATAATCATTGAATCCTTCTTGTTTCAAATTACTTTTAAACGCTATTCTTCTTATAGTCTATGATGCAGAGCCATTTTAAAAAAAAAAAAAATTAAATTCTGTAGGATAGTTGGTCATTTGGGGCTTAACTTATGGTCACTTCGAACAGATAAATAAGTTTTAAGTTTTATTTTTACCAGTTTTGGTTTGAGCTTATGATGTAAAAAGAAAAAAAAAGTTTCTATATTTAATATTTGCAAATTAATATTATTTAAGACATAACTAGAGAAAACAAAGTACAAAATTGTTCACATCAGGAATTGCTAAAATCAGACATAAAAGACAGGAAAATTGTATCACCTTGCATCTATGTTCCAGCTAGATTTTCCATTTAGATTTTCTACATTTTCCTTGGGCTTTTATATGCTCTTGCATTGCTGCCTTTTGGCTAATAAGAAATGGGCTTTAACATACTCAAATTTCACATTGTAAACTGTGCACAAATAAAGACTTAATTTAAAGTAATACAAAATGTTAATGTCTCAATAGGGGAAACTTATTACATTATATTAATGGCTATGTCTTGAATTCAGATTAATTAAAGTCTACTTGGGATGGAAATTTGAAGAGGGAAAGGAAGAGGTGAGCTGTGAGGAGTGACCATGAAGCCACCTTTGACTGTGGAGGCAAAGGTGGCAGAGGAACTTCGTAATTGGTTAGCTTCTGAGCTAGAACAGCTTGATGCTTCCAACACCAAGTGAGTTTGATATAGTGCTCAATTTCTGCTTGCATTGAAAATGTAAAGTCTCTTGCTAATATCCAGTCTAATGTAATATTTAAAATGTGAATGTTTTCTTCCATAGAGATTATGTGTAAGAGACTCATGTGAATTCAAACTCCGTATATCACTTTGTTATGGCTTTATTTGATTATCTTTTTTCAAGCCAATTTGCCCATCACGTTGTGACAATTTTGTTGCATGAAGACTTAGACATCGAGGACGAGCCCCTTACTGCTGGGGATGACTTCTTGCAGGATATATATAGCATTAAAAGAGGGAAAACTCGTGATAGACAAAAGAAGGCTGCTGTTCAATTTCTAAGAAGTGCTGTATGCTGCGTAAGTTTAGAGGAAGTGAAATTTATTATATAATTATGCTTTTTATTTTCCATTTTGAAATGGATAGATTTAGATTTGTTTTTTTAAAAATGAGAGTAGTCAAATGAAGCCTTATTTTCTATTGTTTCTTAACCATAGAATTTATTTTATTTAGAATGAATCTGATGAAGCAGAAATTCAGGGTGTTGTTGACGAATTGATGGTAAAAATTGACGAAACTAAGAACAGAATGAACAATAAAACCTCTAAAAGAAGTAAGTCCAAACCATGTGACGGAGACCTATAAATTAAAAAAATAACAGGAATAATAAATTTAAAGGGAATAATTTAATATATGCAATAGATATATATTTATTAACATTTCTGTGTATATCTTTTTTAAGGTTTACTTGCCCCTATTGCCATCAATGTTAAGACTGCAGCTACTCAGACATGCTCTAAAAGTGATGGCAGTGAAGAGGAGAGGTATGCTTTAAAAAAATGAATAAGTTTTGTTTGGTGAACTCAGTGGAAAGTGTGGTGTGAAAAGTGACGTCTTGCATTGGAACAGCTTTATGTACATAATACATTTCTTATAGCCTGTCAATTAATCTAACCCGGCTGCCACTTTCAGCACACTTCTGTACAGACTTATCCTAAAAAAAGGGGTCACTGACCGCTGTGTTTTAGATGGGGGACTTGTGAATGTAATAAAATGGGATGTAGTGATTTAAATAGAGTAAAACTGGTGGTTTGTGGCACGGTTGTAAATGTTATTTAATGAAACGTTGAAATTAGAGGATAAAATTGAAGCATTTAAAGGACGACTAAAACATGAACACAAAAACCATTAGAGCTCGGCTACAGTATTTATTGTCTTACTTACTACTATGTAATATTATTTCGAATGAGATTAGGCATTTAATTTGTTTCTGACTTGCATTTTAAGGGCATTTTATCACTTTTAAAAATTTTATCTACACTTCCAAATTTATTTACTAATCACGTAAAACCTGTACAAATGCTTTCATGTAAACAGTTTACAATGCATACATTTTTTAAAATTTATTGATTATTTATTCTAAATCAGGCTGTATAATGAAGCATTCCCATCTTTGGCCACTGAGGAATCTCCAAACAAAGAAGGTTTAGCTCGTCTTAACAACAACTCTGTATGGAACAGGTCATCTCCCATGGGCAAAGAAAATAATAAAAAGAAAATGCGAAGAAAGCTCTGCCAGTATGCTCGTAGGCAAAGCTACATGTTTAGTTGCCAAGAAGAAGCTCAAGCATGTAGCATAGCCAGAGAGGTTGCTGCCTTAGCCCTGGCTGAGACTTCATTACCTAATGCAGAAGCCACAGAAGTTTTCCCGTCCACATTGTATGACAGCTCACCATCTTCTTTCATTGACAGCCCTGGCTGCTGGAAATCAGCTTTTCGGACTGTCATTCTCACTAAAGTCTTTATTCCCTCATTGGCCCCAATTCAACAAAACAGACCCATGTCCAGCAATCCCATTTTAAAGGTATTTTCTCCCAAAATTATACAAGGAATTTGTGGACCCTTTTTTAGTGTTTCAGACCCATCTTTTGATTTTCAACTTACTTTTAGAGATCAAGATATGCCTCTTAAAAAATTTCACCCAGTTCATGATGAGACAACTGAACATCTCTTTCCCCAAGAAGAGGAGCATTGCCTTGATGTTGGCAGTGAGACAAGGTTTGCAGATATTGAAGTATGTAAGATTTTTGCAGCCCGTTCACATAGAGAAGAAGAGCTGAGAAGCAAGGTGCAAAAACTGAAGAAGGCAAAGACCAAAGTTGACACACCATATCAAAAACAGAAAGACTCAGAACTTGATGGAGTACTGCAGTTTCCTTACCATTGTGGAGATTTCTGGCAGGAATTAGTTTACAAGGGTGCTGTTGCTCTGTACCCTGATTTAAACAGACGAGATAAAGTTGGGAGTGAGACAGATGGCGAAACATTGATGCACTCTCGTTCTGCTTCAAAGATAAGCATTTTGGTTACGCCAAGGGCAGTCAAAGATCTCTCCCTGTTATGTCTTGAAGCTATTGGAAGTCACTTTACACCTGATACAATGAAGAAGTTTGTAGTAAACTATATTTCCAATGTTGAATCTGGATGTGAGATAAGGATTGAACCGAGGAATATAGTTAAATGCATTGTTGACACTCTTCTGGAACGAAAAGAGAAAGCCTTGCTTTTATCTAGATGTAATATAACTGACCATAGAATGCAGGAAAAGATTTACATTGATAAGCTACTTCATATATGTATGGCTACTTTGAATGACTTTTTTCAATTTGGACCAAAAAATAAGGTCTGGTCTACAGAAAATATGGCATTTGAGGAAGATGCTACATATGCAAGTATATGTTCCAACCCAGGACTGCCTCAAGAAGATCATTGGCAAGCTGTTAAGAGTGAATCTTACATGAGTGGATTTGGGTACAGTGATGTGGACAAAAATAACTTAACTGACGGCCCCTTAAAATGTAGCTCTGGTAAACTGCAATCAGGTGACTATGTGGCCTTTAGCTACACAGATGAGATGATGGGGTCCAACTCTGGTAGTCTTGATTTGTCAGATGGTCTGTTTGCTGAGGACATGATGTACTTTAGTGAAGAAGGTGGCCCTCCAAGTATTAGTGGCTTCTCACCCAGCTTTCTTGATAAGATTGACTTACGGTATCTTGATGATCTTGATGCCAGATCAGTAGAGAATGATCCAAGCGGACACTTTAAAGCAGCACTCACATTTAAAGAGAAAATCCTGCTATGGAGAAACAATGTGCAGCCAGCTTTTTTAATTGAGAAATGGCCAGTGGTTCATGAAGGATTGGGATACGATGACTCCTGGCTTGGCCAGAAGAATTCCAAGATTGATAGTTTTGCTCCTTCAAGTCCAGGTTATCATCTCACAGCAGCAATGCAGGCAGCTGACATTGAAACTTATGATCAACAAGACATGGGGATCTTCTCTTCCGACCAAAAGCAGTTGCATTGGGAAAATCCCTGGTCTCTCACTAAATGGGACTCCATATGCCAAGAGGTGCTAACAGGCATTATGGTTGGATGCACCTCCTGGGGCAATCACACAAGTCCCCCAAATCCTTTCATGCCATCCCTACTGACTTCATGTCTAAGTACAGAAGGAGCTCAGTTTTTGCAAGTAAGTTTGGGGTACATGTTTAGAATTAAGTGGCACCACTTTTGGGAAACTTGTCCATTATTCAGTTCCCTTCTGTTAAAGAAAATTGTTTACATATAAATTCTGAGCTGTGTGTTTTTAAGATGAGGTTTAAATTTTTATTAAAATGGCATCCCTTCACAGGAGGCTGATAACATTGCCACATGATCAAAAACTGTAAATTAATTGTAATAATAATAAATGAAATGCTTTTATCTGTAAATTACTTAGAGCTCCTTGTTTTGTCCAAAGCAATTTGATTGATGTTTACCATGGGGCCAACCCACTTTGCTCTTGGGATAAAAGTGATTATTTAATATCATTTTATTGATTAAATTTAAATTTATTTAAATATATATTAGTTAATTTAAACTGCAACATCGTAACGTCCTTTGACAAGTGCTTCCATGCCTTGAAAATATATTTATTTACTTTTAATTTCAGAGTGCATTTGTGAACTCTTATTTCTCAAGCAACTTTCCTGAGCCTGCAACCCCTCTTAAGGTTTGTAATATTTGTATTCATTAGTTTAAATTATTATGTTGAAATACCACTTGCCTAATGTTTAAATTGTATGTAATGGAAATTGTTCAATATGCTCATTAGAGAAAAATATGTCTTCCTGTATTTATTTTAGAAAAATGTTGGTAAAGGATATTGGATGTTATAAAAATGTAATTGAGCTGTTTAAATACTTGTGTTGTCATGCCTACTTTACTGCTCTAACTGAATGTAAGCATTAAAAAAAAAAAGTTAATTGTATGCATGCATTCTATTGACACCCGGTTTCTTTTTTCTTCCTTTGAGCTTGTTTTCAATTATTTGCCTTTTAATTATTGTGAAATGTCAGGATCACATAATTTATGGTAATGTGCACTGGATGTTATAAAGTGATGGAATTGTAACCTTTTTTCAACAGGAGACCAACATAGCTGTTGACTGTTCTGAACTTGAACAACTTTGGCTCACGAAAGAAAGGCAAAGAAACAGCCCTGAAATTGAACAACTTTGGCTGACAAAAGAAAGGCAAAGAAACAGCCCTGAAATTGAACAACTTTGGCTCACCAAAGAAATGCAGCAGTCTTTTGGTGAGATAACAATGTTTAGTTCAGCATCAGGGTTGTTGGAAGTCAGGGGAAAAGATTTTAATGGTTAATGCAATGTTGATTTTTAATTATCTGCTCTAACAATCAATTGACAGTGTTACAGACTGTGTGCTGGTAGTGTGGCATCGCCCTCTCTTGTGTTTGTGTGTCATCACCAAGTAAGTTGGTGCCACACAGTGCAACACTTGCCACGTGTTTGATTATGCAAGTTTTTAATTAAGATGCAGAAATGTCCGGCCCTTGGTTATGAAGGATATTACGTGTTCATGGCTATGAAAGTTGTTGATGAGATATGCGACTCTCATGTGCATCTCTAGATTGAATGTTCGATCCCCTTTCTAGACGCATTTTTTTTCCCTACTATAAATAAGACAGTCAAATGTGATTCAGAAAGACTTGAGGGAGACAGACATTAGCGAGGGACTAATTAACATTGTTTATGTGTGGATAAATATTTTCAACATTCATATCAAGATAAGATAAGATTCTTTTATTGATCCAAACAAATGGAAATGTTTTTTGATTGCATTGTACATTTTCAGCACATAAATAAATACATAATTTAATAAAATCAACATTATGGAACTAAAACAATTTAAACACAAGACATCTGAATTAAATTATTTCTCTAGCGTAAAAAACAGCCTATCAGTGGACCCCCTTAGTCATAATAAGGGACTTAATTAGTGACCATTTAGAATTTTTTATCTCTGGAGGAGCACGCTGGTAAATTCGGACAGATTGGGGAACAAACAAATTTTTATATTTTTCAGTCCTCGCCTGAAAAGAATGAATTTGGGCCGATCCTAAGTATCTGTGATGAAGTGGGTGGGATGTGATCTTAGGTATCTGTGATGAAGTGGGTGGGATGTGATCTTAGGTATCTGTGATGAAGTGGGTGGGATGTAGCATCCAAAATTTGTTTGGTTTTACATTAACATTTTTCTTCAAAAAGTTCTTCAGTGAAGGATGTTTAGTTTGTGTGATGTTTCTAGCTTTCTTGATTAGTCGGTTTAGTCGGTGTTTGATATGCGACGATGAATTCCCACACCAGCAGGTAATACTGAAATTAAGTAGGCTTTCAATAAAAATTGTTGCTCTCTAGAATAAGTTAATAACTTGTTTGTTTAAGCCGAAATTGTACAGTTTTTAAAGGTAGAAAAGTCTTTGGTTCAATTTTTTTTACATGCTATGTTAGCTTATTATTACTGGTGACACCTAAGTTCTTATACTAAGAAGTGTCCTAGATTTTGAGTCTACAGACAATTTACTTCTTGAAGTCTCTTATATTTTGAGACCACAGAGACGTTACTGTTACATCAAAAGTAGGGGTGTGCCGGAATCCGGTCCGGAATCCGGTTCCGCCGGATTTTGCATTATCCGGTGAAATCCGGTTCCGCCGGATTTACATGTATCCGGAACAACCGGAATCCGGAATATACCGGATTTCGGAATTTGCCAGATTTTGTGACTCACCGGATCATAATCTGAAATAAAAGTAATTCTCTTTCCCGAATTCCACACGATCACGATACATTAATCGATTGTTTCGAGCGTTGAGCTTGTTTAATGTTTAATATTCCGTACATACCAGAGGCTAGAGTCAGCACCGCTAATAGTGGCCAATAGTGTAGGGACTTTGATAAGAAAATTTAAACTTTTTGTAAAAATAAACCAATGGCATAGTTGAAAAGATGTAATTTTTTAAAGAATTATAACACCAAAATCATATTTTTAGCTGTTGTAGTTTTAAAGTTATGAATTTTTAAAGTACGACTTGGTTTGTCATTTTTTAACATGGACTGCATCTCCACATTCTGTGATCTCATTCCACCAATCCCGTCATGCGCAATGACTATATAGTTTATATAAGGCAACGCATTCCCTGCCTTATCACTAAAATACTGTTTAGACTTAGTTTAAACTTTCAACTTTGGCACATGAATAATTAATTAAAGCTTTCCCTGACCAATGGTTTAATAGTTTTTGCACACGGCAAACTCTTATGAATGAAACTCTGAGGTAGTACTACGATACAGTTATGCAAGTGGCTGTGAATGGTTGCCAATGACAACGTGTTGCACACGGTAAATTCTGATCATTTATAATATGGATTCTACCGGGTTGTTAAAGCTCAAATTAAAACATTCCAGTTTAAATGTCTTTAAATGCATTCTGAAACACAAGTTATCAATTATTTTGATGTAAATAGTGATAATAAATTAATATTTCCTAAGTATCGTCAACTTCCGCCATTAAAAAGGGGGGCGTGGCCAACCCCATGGCGAAATTAGGTTGAGCGAGCTGCATGACCTGCTGCGAACGCGTAGAAACATGGCGTCTCTCGTAAGACACTTATCCAAATGGAACGGAACTCAAATATATATCGAAAGTACTAATTTAATAATAAATAGACACACACATCGGAAAATTAAAAACTCGGATTTTTTGGCGCCGATTGCGAATTCCCATACACAAAAAGTAGTAGTCCACCTTGACTTACCGAAGTATCTACCAATAGTACCAAAATCCGGAATCCGGGAGACCCGGGAATCCAGATTATTCCAGAATCCGGATTATTCCGGAATCCGAATCCGGATCCGGCAGATTTCGCATAAGAAAATCCGGATCCGGTTGGAAAAAACGGATCCGGCACACCCCTAATCAAAAGTATCCTATATATTGAGACAGCAGAAAAATTGCATTAAATTTCATTATCACTGTGTCTGGGGCTGTTCATCCTCCATTTATCCACATTTGTATACTTTGCCTTTAAAAAATTACTTACATCCTTAAACCTTTCTATTCTTTACCTTTAATTACTCAGCTTTTGGATTTAACTCGGCACAGTATGAACTTATACGAGGTTGTACTTGCTCTAACTGGCTGGAGAATAACTGCAAACTGGGCCTATTGTGCCCCTTTTCACACCCAAGGTAAGTTTTAACAGTCAAGTGGCATTGTCAGAGTAATTAAGTATAAATTTGTTTGCACCATCTCAGAAGAAATGCACTTCATATCTAATTCATTAATTTTTGTTAATAACATAAGAGAATTTTTGGTGCTTATCTTAAAATTTCCTAATCCATAATATTTAGAATTTAAAAAAAAAAATTAATTTGTATTATTTCATTGAGAGGAATTTAATTATTGTTTTCCAGTGTTACTCAACTGGCCTGAAATTTTTTTATAAGCAAAAATATTTGTTTTGCAAAATTAATTATATCAAACATTTTTTTATATTTTTGTTTGTTTGTTTGTGTACAAGTGGCTTTGCTGCATTTTTTTCTGTATTGAAAAGTGTAAGTTAATATTCACATCTACTTTGAAAAATTTATTTTCAGTATATAACGTGTGTTAGTAGCAAAAAATGACAGCACAAGATCTGAAACAACACGTTGAACAAAATTATGAACTTGGGATTATGAAGATTCTTATGTTTTTATTTCACTAACCACAAGACAACGATATTTCTTCAGATTGGATTAAACATGACCTTATCAGTTTGTTATGGCATGACTGACTCTCGTGTGCTAGAAGTTTTTTTATAAAGTGCACGCTGTGTCTGACTGTAATATTTGATGCCTTACACTGGTATAGTATTACAATTACTCAATAATTAATGTTGTCTTTTGAATATCTTACTTAAAAGCGTTGAAATCATGTGACTACTTGCCAGTTAATGCATTAAGTTTACTTTTTTTTTTTTTTTTTTAATTTTAAGATTTTAGCTTTCATATTTTTGTACTTTTCTTTTTTTTTAAAAAAAAAGGGGGAAAAATAAAACTTAAAATTTTTTTTTTTTATTTTTATTTTTTATTAAGT